AAAATACACTGAGTTCATAGAGAGTTATAGAGTAAAAAAGAGAGAAAGAGAGCTAAGATATTCGAGAACTGAGAAAAAAAGAGAAAAAGGTTAAAAATTGGAAAAAGTTATTGTTTCATCAAAAACTCTCGGTGATTTTGATTTCTTTTCAATTCCTGAAAATATTTTTAACCCATCCGAGTAAACAATGGTTTAAGCTTGATCATCAAGTTCTGGATTTTAAGTTTTGCTGGGCTTTTGTTTGGTTTGGACTCGGTGTATTGAACTGTCATATATCTTCTAGGGTTTTTAAGCTGAATCTACTGTTTAACTGGTTGAATCTGGGCTAGCTGCTGCTGTCATTAAGCTGATCCTTCATTTTTGTTGTGCTTTGCTTTCCAGGTATTCATCTCACCTTCTAATGTGTGAAAAGGGGATGAACATGAAGTTTGGTGTACTCAAGTTGATGTTTGTAATAACATAATCGTGTGCTTGATGTTTCTGCATTTTTAAAAGTCATCTGATTCAATTTAATTTTTCTGTGTCTCCTACAGTTCTGTTTTGAATAAGGAATGATGTAGTAGTAATAATTTGTAATTCATTATGCTGGTTGCTAAATGTGTATGAAAGGTCATGATAAATGTTGGTTAAGATCTGGAAGTTATATGTGTTTGCAAGGCTGAATAGCTAGTTCATTTGTTGATCAATGTGTAAGGCAACCTTTGTATTCATTACTGTTGAGAGGAGCATGTATTCATTACTATTATGTTTAAGTCATAATGTCACTCTACTGGTTTGGATTGACGCCTTACTGTTTCGAGTTGAGGATATGTTAGTATTTACTATCCTATTTCGTGTATGTTGTTAGCTCATATGGAGTTTTGGTCAGTTTAATAAGAAGCCTTTGAATTCTTTATCTTAAATTAAGATGTTGAAAGCTTTATCATCAATATATTGGTGTTAATTGGTGTTAATTGGTGTTAGGGTATAAATGTTAGTTTAGCCATCTATATAATAGACATTAATTGTGTTCATTTCGTAAGTTTCTCAAATTATTTAGTAGAAGTTAAAGTTAATATTAGAGTTAGTATGTTTGAGCTTCAGGAGTTATCAATTTGCAGTTGGGCTCGTTGTTGGCCCAAGCCTTGAAAGTCGAATCTGAGTTTCAGTATTGTGGGCCTTTAATCACTAGGCCAAGTTCGAAATAGGGAATGGTCCATGATATCTCTAAGATTTTGATATTGGGCTCACTTGGAGCCCAGCGACTCGTATACCAGGTCCGCATCAATGTTAGTTAATTGGGCTTTATTTATTTGGGCCTTTCAGCAATCCAACGTGGGCTGCTCCTTTTTACTTAAACAAGCAGTATACCATGAGTAAAAGTCCAATCCCTTAACATGTAGACAACTAATTTCTTTCAAATAGTGGAGGTGGGCTATATAAATAATAAAAATGACAAATTACGTGGCCCTCGCATTAGTTTCATAACCTAGATATAAAAATGATTAATATTCGTAGAAAAGCCTTTAGGGCCGTTTAAAAACACAATTGTGATTGTATATACGTCCGCGTAACACAATTACGATTTCAAAAAACAAAACCGGAGTATGTGTTCGCGCAACTTAGGCCAAACTCTCTTAATAATAATAATAATAAGGCGTTATTAATTGACGTGCCAAACAAATGGGTATACGTACGCGTAACCTGTTTCAAGACAATTTCCTAATTAAAAAGCGGTAAAGGGAAAATACACATAGGTTTTAAAATCAGTAATTGAGCAATTTTTATAAGCCAAGTATGATCAAAGCAACCGTGCTAGAACCACGAAACTCGGGAGTGCCTAACACCTTCTCCCGGGTTAACAGAATTCCTTACCCAGATTTCTGGTTCGCGCACCGTAAATAAGAGTCAACCTTCCTCGATTCGGGATTTTAAACCGGGGACTTGAGACACCATAAATTATCCCAAGTGGCGACTCTGATTTAATGTAAATAATCTCGTTTCGATTGTCACTTAAATTAGAAAAACTCCATTATATCCCCTCACGGGGAGGAAAAAGGAGGTGTGACACTTAGCAGTTTCAACAAGTTCCAGAAAATCAATTAAATGACTGTGTGGATCTTCACTTGAATCTCCTGTAAAGATACAAGATTGTTGAATTGTTTGAATTAGGCTGGTCCTAATTTCAAAGTTGTTGGCTGCTATTGGGGGTTTTCTAACACTAGATTCACAGTTGAAGCGGTCAGGCCTAGCATAATCCCTAAGGATTCTGTTTGCTGGTCTTGGCGCCACTTCATCAAATTGATCTTCTAAAAGGACCGGTGGTACTTCGGGTGGATTGATATCGTCTACTCCCTGATTTTTCATTCCTTCACAAGCTGCGCTCTGAGAAGATGATGTTTGTTCTTTCGTGCATAATCGAAGAGATCTTTCAATTTCAGGATTGTAATGTGCCAACTCTTTTGTAGAAGAGCGGGTCATAAATTAAGTGATTTTTTTTGAAGTAAAAAAAATTAAAGTTTTTTTTAAAGACAATTAAACTTAATTCCTACAATAACAGTATCACTAAAAGAAAAGTAGTAGTAGTAGTGAATAGTACACTTAGTGATAATAATTATAAATATTAAAGGAAAAGATAGTTAGTACAAATAGTATATTATGATGAAAGTGCTATGACGTGAAGTTGCTGACAATATCATAAGAGTTATAGATATACACATTAATTATATCTACACATATTAATAATGAAAACGGTAGGTAATAGTTACAACAATGAGAAAGAAAGAAAAAAAAAACTTTTATATTACTACGGAAAAAAAACGTTAGAATGGATATAATAGTAATAGTTATCGAAATATTTAGCAGGTGACGATATACTAACAAAAATAAGGATACCAATACATACAATAATAAATTCTTAAATTAGTAATAAAATATTTAATTTGAAGTAGATTTATGCCAATCCCGGCAATGACGCCAAAAATTTGACGAGGCCAATGTGTATAGGATTTTCCTACTCGTGCTTAGTCAAATTCTAATATAGTTTAAGATATCGTCCCACAGAGATTGGAAAATCTATACTACAAACTTGTAATATTTTAGCTACTATTTGAGAGAATCAAATTGATGAAAAGAATAGGATTTTGAATTTGTAAATTACTTAAACAAAAACAACTTGTGGAAAATTTATATTTAAAAAGTGTTGGGAATCATTGAATTCACTTGACGATATTTTTATAATGAAATCTCAATTTCTACATATATTTCACTAATGAACAATTGCTTATTGCTAATACAATTATGTTTTGCTAACTAGAAAGTAAACAATTAATAATACTCCTTGAGGAATTGTGCTAAGAGGTAGTAAAAATTTCGTAAGAATATTTTTACTACAACATCAATGATATTGCTTATAACAATTCCTCCGTGAGAATTAAAATTGAAGCAAAAATCAAGATTTGAAATGCTACATTGCTGAAAATTACCCTCTATCTATTGATTCACACTAGTCAGTATGTATCGATTTTGCTTCGTGAGAATTACAAAATCAATACAAGTAACTTGAGAAATAAATAGATAGATGTGGCTAATTAAAATCTAACACCCCAGCACAATATAAAAGTGGAGCTAGAGAACCTCATGCCAAGTATGTAATAAGATTGAGAAAACTATTGTAAATATATATATTCAAGCTTCATCAACTATCCCAACAAAAAGACACTACTCCATTATCGAGTATTTGAAAAAGAAAAGACTTCCATAATATGGCCTATATTGCCAATCCTACTAGGAAATCTAAAAATTATAAGAAGTAATGAAAGAAGAACAAGAAATAATAAGTAACCAAAGCTTTAGAAAATAAAGTGGCTCTTTTGTTCCTTTTTTCCTCGATGCTTCATACACATTGCCTTCTATTTATAGAAGTGCATTTCTTCTTGAAGTGTTGTGATCTCAAGTGAGGAAGATGCATCTTGAGGAGAATATGTCTTGAGGAAGATGCATCTTGAGGAGAATATGTCTTGAGGAAGATGCATCTTGAGGAGAATATGTCTTGAGGAAGATGTATGTCGAGGAAGATATGTCATGAAGAAGATATGTCGTGATCTTCTTGCATTGTGGAGTGAATATGTTAGGACCTTCTTGTTTCTTTCATTTTCTTGCTTAATTAATAACATTCTTATCTCCCGCAAAACATTGTTAGAAAATATAGAGAATCGAAATACTATATAAATACTTTATTTAAAATAGTATATTTTTAAGTATATAATATATGAATATTTTATATTCATCAAGTTTTCCACAAAAGGTCAAAACTCATTGTCCAAGAACTTTACCCCCTAATACTTGGTGCAGCACGATGGAAGATTATGTATGGAGGGATTAGAGTTGTCTATTGTTGTGTGTTGTGATCACAAGTTTGACAAACTTCACATTGCCAAAGATTATTCCCATTCTTATGGCTTTTCAATGGCTGGCCTTAGTGGCTTGGTTCCATGCCTGTCGGGGAATAGAAGGAAGTCTACATATGCAATATTTTTCCTCGTCCCGAAGACAAATATGTATCAAAAGACTTCCAGTAACATGATTCATTTAGTTTCTTGATAAAACGAAGTGGCTATAACGCTATAGAATCTCGATTTTTCGATCCTTCTTATAGGTAAATGAAAGCAGAAAAACCCAAAAACAAGGGGTAAACAAATGATCGAGCTGTTATTTATCTTTGTTGGCCAATCTTTTATTTTCCTTTGTACAGTTTGTACTTCCGTTGAATAGAGAGATTGAATGACAAATAGAGCAAGATTCACCATTAATTTATTTCACTAGTCATACGTATGTTGGGGTTAAAATGACAAGGTGTCATGCGAAACCTAACAAAACAAACCTTAACGACGATAAATCAGATAAAATGAGAGTAAGGTATGCATACAATCAGTTAAACACAACTAAGAAAGTTTACGATGCACTTTAGATGTACATATTAGCAAGAAAATCTTCTTCTCCTACTAGCGCAACACTAAATATAAGAGGAATGCAAGACACAGATAATTATACCAATTTAGACAGTAAAAACATGTACACTGTCTAATGCACAGCACCATCAGACCAACCATGCGGGCAGTGAAAAGATAAGTAATCACAGCTGTGAACCAACTACATGTTAAATACCAATTTGCACAAGTTCATGGACTTTCCATGCCTAAAAGAACACAAAAATCTTGCAGCCACTGAGGGATGCCACACTGAGGGTTGTAATGGATCAGACTTCCAGGAGAAATTAGAGGAACATAAGAAGAAAAGGGTGTATTCTGAAATTACAAGTAGTGACAAGAACAACACCATAATTGTGTGTAATACAAGTACTCCTCACACTTAGTTATTTCATTTCATTTTATGTAATATTAAACCACATATCACGGAACTTAACAGTTCTGCAAGAATAATTGGACTTTATAGAAGATGAGGAAATCCCTGCAATGCATGAGGCAATCTACACAAAGTATATAATACTGAAGTTTTACTGCTCTAATTTCTTGTCAGATACTGAAGTTTTTATTTTGGTAATTACAAGCTTCATTAATCAGCCGTGAAAAACCAGTACAGTGCATTAGCTTAGCTATATCAGCTAAAGACAGTATACAAAAAAGACTCTTTAGTTCCTATACAACTTTACTATCTAAGCTACTGATCTTATTTACAAGTCTAGAAATGAAGATGATGCAACCATCCTTTCATATTCCTTCCAGCTCTAAGGTTGCAGACATAAAGTATGCACGCGGAAAACGAAAGCTTACAGGAACAAGTAAACCAATACTTTAAGGAAAAGCTTTACTAAACCAATACTTTAAGGAAAAGCTTTACTGCTATAATTTCTTGTCAGATTTTCTGTTGTTTGAACAATACTTACATGAACTACTAACTAGTTTATTTTCCAATTTGCTTTCTTAATTGTTCAAAAAGGTGTAAGAATCATTTTTTCTTTGTTTTTAATTGTTCAAAAAGGTGTAAGAATCATTTTTTTCGAAAGATGCAATTGAAACAGTCATACACATGAACTTTATAGCTCCTTTTAACCACTCAGGTTAGTTACTCATTCGAATGATTCATATTATAAGGGAATGTTGCTCACCTTCTTTGAGTTATATCAAAACAGTATAGTCCTCCAAATAATTTTAGAAGTATCCCACCTCCAAAAGGTTTTTAAACAGACGTTCTTGATAAACAGTTTGAATCTCATTTGATCATTATTGAATTTATATTTGTTGAATAACTTCAATTGCGAAACCATTCCTATTCATGTTGGATACAAATAATGTAACTAACTAAATTTGCTTGTTCATTCATCTTTAGATATATTACTACGAAGTTGCTTACCAAGTATCAATTTATCCTTTTCTATAACTTGCGCTTTATATTCTTTAGTTTATCTTTATTTTACTCAAAACTTCAATAATTTTATGTGTTTATTCAAAACTTTATATACACAATGCTATAAAATAACTTGTTAAAAAATAAAAAAAATTAAGGCCGGACTTTATGGACAGATTGAGATATATCTTGCATGACAAGTATCCATCTCCTACCCTCCCCCTCACCTTGGCATATCAATTTTAGAGACCGATACATTCCTTTGAAAAGGGACAACCGCAATGTCTAGCATCATGTGAAGTGCACTATGCTAAGCCACAAATACACAAATATAAGCCAAAAGCTATCAAAAAGAGTTTCTTACTCTTCCTACCTCAGTTTGCAATACATGGTTGGAGAACAACAATATAAAACATGCATATGAGGTTAGACAGAGTGATACATACAAAAATATCAACAGCAAACATGCAGTTGAATATGCAAAACTCAAGCAAATATAGCAAGCATACCTCAAGTTCTGCAGACCCCACCAGAAACAATAAAAGAACTTCTGCGGAAAATCCATTGATTCCACAACACCAGACTGGAGGGCGACAAGGAATATCCCAAAATCAAAAAGTGTTGCGTTGGTGTATCTATAGGACATGAACTATTTAGCAATATTTTAAATCATGTATGATCATCATCATAGTACAATGAAGAAAGATGACACGCAGATGAATTTTCACATGCTCGTTGCCAACAAGTAGACTCACGTTCTATTGAAAACAGGTACCAAAACGCTCGAAGTACCTAAAAGGCAGAGAATAACTTGTTATCAATGTTTCAACAATGATAGTGCACAGATAACGGACTATAAGATTATGACTTAACTACTTGCTAATATTATTGAATATCTGTAGTAATCATATGTTTGCATGCCAGCGAAAACTTAAGATGAGTGAAAATCAACAAATTTTATTCCTACAACACCAATTGGGACCAAAAATAAAATCAAGGCTTAAAAAGACACTTTTTAATACAACCATCCCAACTTTCTTTTTATAACAGTTGTGTCATAGACAGCTTGTGCGCGCCTAAATTATTCCACTGGGTACCTACTACCTCCCACTAGCAAAGGTACAGGGTAATTTGCTCACCGAGACAAATGGAAAGAAATCACCGGGTAACATTTTGTCTACATTGAGATTTGAACCCTAGTCCCCAAAGTTTGTACCCACTTCTTTGACCACAAGCCAGACCTTAGGTGCCATTCCGAAAGTAATTTTCTAACACATTAGTTTAAACTATCTGAGTGAATAGTATGATAGCCTTTTATAACCAAGCTTATTAGTTATTACAAACTTACATGACTGGCAAGCATATAAAGAAAAAGATTGAACGAAGCTCCAGTCCATGCTGTTTCAGTGAGTTGTGAATTCCTTATATAAAGGATAAACTTGAAGGAGCCTCGGAATATATTGGAAGAAAACAACAAATTTCAGCAAATTCTTCATGTTCAAAGATCTAGCACCCCGCAATTTAGGAATTACAATTAAAATTACAACCTGAAAAGACAGAAAAACAACATGAGTAAAAACAATAAATCTAGAATTTGTACTTGCATTGAAATGAGCTAGCATGATTATGGTTAGCAACCTAGTCGCTGTACAATCTGTTTCAGAGCTGAGATTCTAGCTTAACAACATAGTAAATCCTTAATATCATGAAGCGCATGAAAAAACAGAAGTTTAGAAAATCATTTAATGCCAAAAGGTCTGCATATCATGAAAATCTACATTCTCCATGACAAACGGATACATTGTTTGTTTGAAGCAGCATAAATCTTGCACACAGTCGACCAACCATGTGTTATCCAATAAATAAGAATATTTATTAAATTAACACTTCAACAACATTTTTAAAAGAAAGACCAAAGGTGCTGAAGAAGACAATGCCAAACAAAGCAAAAAGGCTGAGTGAGCCTAAATAGACGGACATTGAGGACATGACCTTCCAATTAGGCAATGTATCACCATGGACTAATGGTCACTCAGGACAGCAAGTTGATATTATCAACCAAAAAAAGAAGAATAAGAGAAATCACTCTAACCTGTGGTAGAGGAAGAACTGCAAGAATATCTATCAAGAAGTAAGAGGACAAGTATCTCTTTGCTATTTCCCAAGCATCTTCGACCAAAACTCCTCTTCCAAATACACTCGACGAAGGGGCGATGAAACCAGTACGAAATTGAAGCACAATATGTAGAAAATTTCTGAACAATCACAAGAATAACAGTAGCCTTAGAAAACATACAGAGGAACCAATTCATAAAGCAGTAGAGGAGGAATAAACCCAATCAATCGCACATCAATTTAACGGCAGTCGGTTATCACAAACGACTTAACATATGTAGAAAAGCTATACTTTCACAAATCTCAAAACACAATAGTTGGACATCAAAAATTACAAATTTGTACCTTGTAAGCAGATTTTTTTGCCGATAAAGACAAGAAAGTGAAGGAGAAGAATGATTTCTACAACAAGCTTGAACCTACACCAAAAGAGAAGTTGGCGACGGATGAAAGGGAGAATACTGACGACGAAGATTGAGCATAATCGAGCAGCACCAATCCAAACTCAATTGCAAATCACACTTGCTGGGTAAGAAGAGAAGTTATACCTTGGAAAGAAGAGGATTAATTAATCTCTAGAAAAAGTTGCCGGAGACCTGATCGATGCAGGCTTGCAGAGGAGTTATCGCGACTTCATTAATCGTGTCATTCGATGTAGGCTAGGGCACGATTCTGTATCCCTTCAATAAAGGGAATAGGTTTTCCTATTATTTCCTAATTGGAGGGATTAAATTCATTGTTGTCCAAACAAAAATTGGAGGGAAAGATTATTATTTTTTGGGATGCGGATGGAAAGTTAAAATAATAAATTTTTTTATTCTAATTAGTAATGTTTAGTGGCAATTTATTATATTGTCGATAAAAGGATATTTTTTAGTGGCTAATGATCATGTGCCGCTAATATTTCAGCTTAAAGAATCTATTAGTTAATTGACCGGTTGTCACTAAATAATTGCAGGCCCTTTTTGTAGTAGTGCCTTTTTATAGAGTTTAGGACTCCTCCATTGTGTAAAGAGGGTTGCAAATTCATGTAGGACATGGTAACACGCTTTCCAAAGCAATACATTATTATTTCTATTTTGAAGCTCTTATTTTTCTATATCTTGATACCTGTTGAAGTGTATCTAGTTCGAGTGTGACTAGGGGTGTTCAAAACCGAACCAAAACCGAAATCTGAACTGCAAAAGTGGCTTAATGACTTATTGGTATCGGATTAACGGTTTAATGGATGGGAACGAATTGAAATTTTTTTATTAACAGCTTATCGGTTTGGGGGCGGATTTTTAAATTTTCTTAACGGATAATCCGTTAACCCGTTAAGAATATATATATATAATTTATTTTATCCATATATTACTATGTATATTAAATAATAAAAATTCCTTCCACACTTCCACACTTCCAGTAGTGGACCTCTATTAGACATTTCGACTTTATACTTATCCTTGGGGTTTAGTCACATGTTACTCTCAAGTTTCATGCTAATTAACACTTTGTTGTATTTTCACTTAAGACACAAAACTAACGTTATTTTACTGTAATTATCTTCTTAGAACATTCACAAGGTTCTACACAACTTTTATGATCTGTGAACAAGACCAATAAACTAGCTAGCTGAAATGTAACACTATACTTGGTGTTTCCAGTAGCCCTGCTACTCAAACGTGTTGCTGGAACTCGTGCAGATCTGAAATGTCCGTCCGATATCTTATCGGATGGCTAGCGGATTAATACATTTACAAGCTGATAACCGATAAGCCAAACCGTTAAAAGTAAATAACCGCCCGATAAACGGCCCGAAGTGTGACTGACCTTCCAAGACTGAAATTGTTCAATTCGTGTGGTTTGCTGTTATTTTATCATTGTTTATTTCAATTGCAACTTAATCTATTACTTTGTGTCAAGTTAATCCACATATCATTAAAACCGCTTACAAATTCAATTGTTATACGATTTTTATTGGTAAACATAGAGAATTCAAAAAATGAAAAGATGATATTCAACTTATTACATGTTCTTATTGTTAAACTCCGCACTCAAGAGTCCTTTTTTTTTCTTTTTCTTTTTCATATGTAAATACACATTGGACAGTTCAGATTCATCATGAAAATTACAAGATTCGATCCACCAAAAACCAAAATATATTTAATAAAACAGATCTCAACACCTAGTAAAAGAGAAGATTAAAAGAAAGTTGCTAAAAATTTGTAAAAAAGGAAAAAAGGAACAAGAAAGGCCAAAAACCGAGTGAACCACTTAAGCAACTCGCCAACGAACCGACTCGGTGAGTTAACTACTGAGTTTCCAAGCAGAGGTAGCAATTAGGGGCCTTGTATGCCAACCCAACATCAAACAACCATTATTTTCTTCCACTTTGTATCCACCACCACCAGCAAACAAAGCTAGTAACATACTAGCTTGTTTAAATGCATTAGAACCTAAATGAACCGGCTCAAAACCAGCCGAGTTAAACCGGGTTCTCCACTGAGCCAATGTCTCGTGCCTCTCAACTCGGTCTACACCCTCACACGACCCCAAATTGCAGATTTGCCGCCCTAGATACACCTCCGACATCAACTTATCTTGGTCACTCACCGGCCCTAATTCGCCACCGCTGCCGCAACCCTCCAACGAGTCAAAAAGGGTTGAGTAATAATGCAATGACTCCGTGAACCGGTCCATGAAAACCGGTCCATTGTGATTAGCTTCTTGCTCGACGATAGTGAAAATCTCAGGTTTCAAGTCCTTCACAAATGACAACACCTTCTCTATACCTCCAGGCCTAGCTAGCAACTGATGTAATTCGAACATGGAATTCACTGCAACAGTTTCGCCTTCACGGATATCGAACATGGACGCATCGAGATCAGCTAAAGTGTTGGCAACAAAGCCCCTAAATTCGAATTCAACATTGATTGATTCTGCCAATTGAGCTAATTTCCAACCAACTTGTTGCAAATGGTCTGTGTTATCTTGTGATGGCGGACCAATTCCAGTTAATCTGAAAGTTGGTGCACCACCTGGCCTTAACGCTAAGGCTTGTAACAAAGCAGGCCATTGCATACCTTGTTTCATACTGAAATCAATCACATGGATTTTATTCTTGTTTGCAAAAGCTTCAAGAATGGCTTGATTTGCAGTGAAATGAGCGAATTTAAGGTAAGGGCAAGTCTCGTAAAAGTGCATCTGTAGAAGGTCGGTGAAGGCAGGATCGTTAGGGTTTGAAGGGTACAATCTGTAAACTTTCCTTGCCAGAGCTTCAGCGAAATACGTCGCGACTTTTCTCATTGCCCCAGCTTGTGACACAGCTAAGAATCCAATTTGCTTCAATAGAGCTTCAGCTAATTTCATCTTCTCCTGTTGAATTGCTTCTGCACATGCCATTAATGTATGGACGAGCCGAACGCCGTTGCCTTGCGAGTCAACAAGCACCACGGGCCGAGTTGACTCAGCCGGCCGTGTGGAAATTGACTCGCTCTGAAAACTTCCCCACATACCACCCCCCACGGAGATGCTTGAAGAGGACGACGACGATAACTCTGTTGCTGTAGTGGGTTTGAATCGTTTGCTCTGTGGCTGCTGCACCTGCGGTTCATGAGCTGGATTTTCAATTTGGGGAAAAACGGCTTTACCTGGAATAGCTGTTAGATCTGAATCGAAGGAGGAGGAATCCTCATAAACTTGATTTGTTGGGAAGGAGGAAGATGAATTGGAAAAAGGGTCTTGCGGATTGAGCTCAGATATCATAGATTCAAGCCAAGATGAGAGATCTGAAGGGTTATAATGAACAGTTTCAGAAGCAAGAAATGAAAGATTATCTTGTTCAACACTACCCATAACTTCCTCAAGCTGTTCCAGTTTCTGAGCAACTTCAGCCATGTCTGATGCCTTCACTTTGTAACCCAAAACAGCGAGCAGCTCATCATCAACTCCTCCATCTTCCTCCCACATCTTTCCTTTTCCGGAACAACCGCCGCCACCCGCGGCGGAGCTACAACCACCTGAAAATGAATCTTCCAGTTGCTCATACGGCATCGTGTGCCCTCTCTTCATTTTTTTTTCTTTTCTTTTTTCTTTTGAGCTAAGGAAAATAGTTGAATTCTGTGGACTCAGAAATTGATGGGATTTCTGCTACATGTATATGATTATGGCCTTATGGGGTGGTTTCTTTTTTTCTTTTCTTTTTTTTAGAGATAAGAAAGAGGTTTTTAGGAGAGAGAGAGTTGCATAGGAGAGAGAGTGTTGTATAGAGTCACAGGAATGGCAGACGGTGCGGGTGGGTTCTGTCTGAACCTCCACAATTTCAACCCGCCCCTCCCCTCATAAAATTTAAACCGGCATCCATTCACCTCACACTTCACACGCGTTCGCCCATCCCGTTCCGCCCCGCACCGCAATTCTTTTTAAAAATAATTTCTCTTTTTCTTTTGTAGTTTCTTTGCCAATAGTTGTATTATATAAAGCCCCCACAAACATATGCACAACATCTTAAATCTGCCAATTAAATTTTTATATAGAACCTCGAAACCCATAGGAGTTTTTTGTAAAGCTCACTTTTTAAAGGATACTATATGAGAGATTTTATGTATAATAATATTTTTATTATTAATATTCCCTCTTTTCCGGTTTATGTGAATCTATTTTTTTTTTGTCTGTTCCAAAAAGAATGACCTCTTTCTAAATTTAGTAACAATTAAGCTTAAACTTATAACTCTACTCTTAATGAAAAGTTTTTATAGCCACACAAATACTCTATGCCCCTTTTGATTTGTTTAAGACCACAAATTCGAAAAGTCTTCATTTTTTTTAAACTCCGTGCCCAATCAAATAGGTTCACATAAATTGGAACGGAGTGAGTATTAAGATTTTGACAATATGCCAAGTTATTACTGAAACACAATGAAGACCAAAAATATAACCTAGAGACTTTCAACATAAAGGATAATTAATAGCAAATCATCTGCTAATACATGATCTAGAATAAAACATTAAAACTTTATTTTTACTACTCTTCCTCCTCCTTGGACAGCTTAATCACCTGAAATTAATTAACATAATGCAGCATTAGGCACTGCATATATACTTAATGACGAACTACTTCACCAATTAGAAAAACTATTTGAAAAAGAGAAGAAAAGAAAAGGAAAACAATGAAATGTTTAAATGCAAAAGCTCATAGTTTATGTATGTGTTTTAGACAACTAATTTTTATCCCAATTCCACCTTAGGGGTTGTTTTGGTAGGGTGCATAAGAATAATGCTAAATATGATGATTAGTAATGGTGGTATTAGTTATGCTAAGATTAGTTATGCTGACATATTTTTTATCCATTGTTTGATTTGATGTATTAAAGTAGTAAGAATTGCACGGGGCGCCCTATTTGGTCGCCCCCATTTAACCTATACTCATTTTTTAAAATTTTTTAAACTTGTACCTACTTTTTAAACAATTTCAGCTCCCCTTCTCCTCCTCCTTCTCCTCCTTCGTTTTCTTCTTCTTCTTCTCCTTCTTCTTGTTCTTCTTCTTCTTCTTTCTTCTGTCGTTGTTGATGTTGCTATGAAACTTCAATTCATGGGATGATTGTCATAAGTATGTTTACCAGATTATTTAAAAATAAATTATAAATAATTACGTAAGTTAGTAGACAATAATTTTTAAATATTTCCACGTACGGGAAGTTTAAGGTCATACTTAGTGATTCTTTTCATG